GTCCCCCCCGAGCTGCGGGGGGCGAGCTGTGGGGATGGCTGCACAGCCTGCAGCCTCATTCGCCCCTCAGCATGCGGGGAGAGAGCACGTGCTCGTGGCTGTGCTTGTGGCCAGCACTGCCGTGAGCTCATTTGGTGCTCGCTAACCTGCACCGACAGAGCCCGGCTGGGCGGTTAATGCACAGCCAGGTCACCCCTCTGGGTGGCTGTCCCCACGTAGCGCAGGTCTGGCAGCAGCGGGGTTTGCAAGGCGAGCTGTTCGTGGCAGACCAGGTGCCGTGCTGCTCCTGGCGGGCGCTGCTGCCTCCTGAGCTTGCTGAGGAAGAGGCAGATGAACGTAGTGCACTGGCACGCGTATGGAAGGCTGCCTGGCCAATGCAAACAGCCGCTTTGCGCTAATTAGGAATGGGTTGTGGCCAATGCAAACATTCTCGTACCCACTATCAATAACCCAGTCCCCTAAAATGTCTGCGGTTGCTGTGTGTGCTGTGTTTGGTTCCTTGCAGAGTCAGAGATTCATTTTCATCACACAATAACTTACTGTTTTTACATGACTTTGGAGTTGCTTCCTAATAGTATGTTTGAATCCTTAGTTTCTAAAGGGGTTCATTTATAGCACCGGGCTTGTATTATACCTTTAATTTCTTTCATTATCTACCAGCATTCCCTGAGTTCCTGGGTAGTTAATGCTCACTTGAGCTCCCTGTCAGTCACGTTGTTCTGTATTTCCATTTTTCTCCCCCATGCAATCTTCTCTGTCGATATGAATAGGTAAAACAGATCAGCCTTAGATGTTGGAGACCAAACGTGTGCCTTTCCAGCACACAAAGGAAAGCAGGGATTTCTTGTGCCGCGTGGAGCCTTCCTGCTAGAGAACTGACACCACGCGTGAGACCGCTGCAAGGGCCCTGGAGGAGTGGAGCAGAAGGGCTTCAGACGTGGGGAGGATTGCTGGTATTGTTCCTCACTCGTCTTTCCTCCCCTTTCTCCAACAAATACCTTTTTTTTTTTTTTTTTTTTCCAAGCAGCTTTTACCTCACCTCTAATTTTGATCCTCACTTGTAATTTTTCTGATCTTTCCAATTCATTCAGACTCATCCTCCAACTCGGAAGCTTTTTGTGTTGAGCCCTTCCTGTCCCTCTGCTGTCCTGCCACAGATCTTAGCAGGCTCCCTGCTGCCTTTGGAAACTTCTGTGGGTTTCTGTTGCAGTGACATCTGTGCTTACATGGTCTTTGTGCTACTTTCCCAGTCTGCCCACTGTCCTTGCTCAAGCCCTGTCCCTGGCTCTAAAACCTATTCCTGACCCAATGTCTGTGGGTCCTGCACCAGTTCCTTCGGTTCCATGCCCATTTTTCTCCCTGTGCTGCCCACTGGCCCTGGTTCCCTGCGGGCTGGCTGCTCTCGGGGTCCCTCCGCCGCCTCCTGGCTTTGCAGAGGGGCCCTTCCCTTCTGGCTGCAGTCGCTGTGTGTGATTGCTTTTAGGTCTATCTAACTCTGCTTCCTTTGAGCTGAAACTCCTGGCATTTTTTGGCAGCACACTTGTGGTTAGCGTGGCCGCGTACGAATGTTTCTACATCAATTACTGTGGTGTTTTCTTCCCGAGCTAGGCTGCAGTAATATAATAGGTAGACATATGCTATTAATTATGCCAACATATAGAAGTGCATTAATAGAGAGACCTGATCGTGCTGTAATTGTCCTACAAATTTATTGTTAAAAAAATCAAAAGAGTATTTAGTATGTCTTTAGCCCCATAGAGAGTCATTCCTGGAGCTGAGACCTCACAATTTTTACTGATGAAGCTGAAAGACATGCAGATAAATAGTGAAAGGTTGTCTCGGTCCTTAAAATGTGGTACCAAACTTTCTGTTTTCCCCAGATTTGAGGATGCTGGGTATCAGGTTTACTCACCACGCTCACTGTTTTCCTACTGTTAATGCCAGGTCCTGATACTGGACCTTCACTTGGTGCCCACCGAGTATCTGAAGACTTGCTGTACTTTCATCTTGTCATACCTTGATATTTCGTAAGTAAATACAGAAGGAACAGCAAAAATCTTGGAAGATAGTAAAGACTAAAAACTCATGCATGTTGTATTAAGGCACACTCATCCTTCTGCACAAAAAGTTGTTGCAGAGAAACGTGTTCTCCATTCTCTGTATTTCCCTGGCAGACAGGAGCCGTGGCTCCAGCCTGCTGTATAACTCAGTACATGCAGTAATTACAGTGAGACCTTAATTGCAGGGATGTCAGCGCAGCACCTGGCCCTCTCTTGCCAAGGGGGCTGGATGTGGCTGCGTGAGGCTCAGGGAGGCCCAACAGGCCCGTAAAGCCCTGCGGCCCTGCTGTCCTCCTGGTCGGGGGGCTGAGAACAAGGCGAGGCTGCGCTAGGCAAATCCTGGTCACGGCATTTATCTGTGTGCTTCACGCCCCAGTGCCTGATGTCAGGAAGAGGCATGTCTCGAGGTAAATGCCGACACGGTACGTCCAGCACTTCACTGAGAAGGTGCTACGCTGCTAACGAGCTGTTGCAGAAGCCAGGAGGAGTATTTAGCTTGGCTTCTCCAGGAGGAGCTGTGGAAATACCCGCTGGGGAGCTGAGCACACGGTGGTGGTGGGTGGCAGTGCCACCGCCGTGCCGTCATCGGCTGCGGGGCGGACTCCGGGTCCCTCCCGCGGGTCCCTGTGGCCAGGCCCCGTGCTGTGCCCACGGGCTGCGCCCCCCCCGGCTGTGCCCACGGGCTGTGCCCCCCAGGCCCCGTGCTGTGCCCACCGAGCCGTGGCCCCATGCCGAGGCGGCCGCTGTCAGCTCCCGCTGCGGGGAGCATGCGGCACGAAATCCCTCCCTGGCGCCGTGAGTCAGGCTCCTACAGATCACCCCCAGCAGCCAGCTCTTCGGCTGCTGGTGCGCGGCAGCCTTCTGCCAGCTCACAGAAAGAGGAGGCTGGAGCACAGCACTGCTCCGGGAGGGCTCGGGATTTCGGTTTCAGGGCTGATCCCAAATGCCGTAGTGGTATAGTGATACGTCGTCTCTTTTAGAAATACCATGTGCAAAAACCAACGTGCTGCTACTGTGCTTTCCTTACGCAAATGTTGAGGTTTGCTTTTTGCTTATTGCAGTTAATAATTCCTAAAGAAAATAAAGAAACTGGAAAAAAGTCAAGTTCATCTGACATCATCGGTACTTCAAATCAGCAGGCTGGTGTCTTTAATTTATTAAAAGCGATGTCTGCTGAGAGGTTCGAGGGCCTGGTAAATATTCATATCTGGATTTGTTTCTTGACTGCTGACTGGAGCATGCTTTCCCTATCAGTTGTAGCCATGGATACACAAGAATGACAGTTTGGGGTTTGTTTTCTAGGCGGCGATGCTTTTCTGCACAATCCTCCAAACATTGTAATAAAGAATTGTCAAAAGCCATCCTCCTGAGGGGGTCGCAGGTCACGAGCACTGGCGCAGAGTTTGATTGTGAATGGCTGACCGTGCTCCAAACACGCTCACCGTGATCAGGTTTCCCCTTTGAACATTTCCAGTGACCACAGGTCAGTAATGGATTTGCGTGCATCTAGAAAAGAACTGGATCTGTTGCCCAGGGTGCTTCAGCACTGCGTGCTCGAGCTCTGGATTTCAGCTGGAGTGTTCACGACCAAGCCGTAGCCGTGGTCTGTGCGTTGTCTGTGCACACGTTGTGGGATCGGGGCGGCAGCAGCTCCCCGGCACCTGGCGGGGTGGCCGCTGGACTCACCTCGGCCCTCAGGGCCCGGGGAGCGGGCCTGGCGTGTGGGCGACGTGTGGCAGGAGCCGGGCCAGGCGCTGTTCTCAGCTCCATTTGGCAAAGTTTGCCGAGTTCTTTGCAGAAAATGTCCCGCAAGAGTGACAATAACAATATTTTGGATATAAGCCTAGCACAAGAGGATAATAGGAACTCCACGGGCATGTGTGGGCTTTTGATTCATCCTCGGAAATGACGGGTGTGCATGTATTAAAGCTATGGGAGTGGGACTCGGAGTATTTATAGTGAATTCTTCGCTCCCACTCTTCCTGTGTGATTTCTGTCTCTGCTGTCAGTCACACGTGGGTCGGAGCACTCCTGCCCATCTCACCTGTCATTCGTGCTGGAAATCCCCAGGCCCGTAACAAGCCTTGCTCTTGGTCTGACTTTCAGAGCTGTATGGGGAGGAAGGAAATCCCGAGGGTCCACTGCAGGGCCGGGATCTGATGGTGGGTGTCCTGGAGGGTCACGGGTGGAGAGCTGCAGGCGCGGCCGAGCCTCTGTGGGACGGCTGGGTGTTTGGGTACCAACTCCAGTTGTATGGTAGCAGAGATTGTATCGGTATTGTTAGAAATGGACATTATTATTTTTTATTTAAGACCAGTCTTAGATCGTAGCAGCAGCTTGGTAGATGCCTTTGTTTGCGGCGGTTGCTGGTGAAGGCAGTAGTGCGGTGTTGTATCTGCGCTGTCCCTCCCGTCGGTGCTCCTCGCCGTGGCTCTGGAGCAAATCCCAGATCTGGTAGGGGTGGGTTTGTACATGCAGAGTGGAATCCTGTCCCCATCCTGTAAATGTTGCCTTCGGAAGGCACCAACAGCACACCGTTTGTGTGCACAGGCGGTACTGAGCGGGGGCCTGGTGAGCAGGAGCAGTGCGGCCGGGGGCTTGGGGCGCGGCGGTGTCCTCGTCACCGGGGCTCCCTGGGCCTGCTCCCTGCTCGTGGTGATCCCGTGGGGCCCCTCCGGTACCGACGCAGGTTGGGGCTGTATTAACTGGTGCTAAACCACCTGGTTAGCAAACTGATTGACCGTGTTTGTTAGCAACCTCAAGCAGGTAAAAGGAAAGACCACTGAAAGAAAAGTAACCGGTGTCCTGCACCTTCACAGCACGCGGTGATTTCTAGCAAAGCTTGGCCATTGCTCTTTGCATATCTCCTTGCCTTTTTAAATACACGATCTTTGTAGTAAAGCCTTTACAAATTTAAATTGTTTTTTCTTTGTCTTGTAGTGAACTTTGACCACTTCCAGATTCTCCGGGCGATCGGGAAGGGAAGCTTTGGCAAGGTAGGCTTGTTCGCTCCGTCTCAAGTTCCCCTGTGTGTTTTATCAGGTGTCTGCTGTTAAGTGCTTACTGCTTACTGAAACAGTAATGTTGCTGAAATGAATTATTTTAATTGTGGGATGATGGCTGCTAAGTAAACACAGGAGGAATGCATTCAGGGAGAATACTTTGTTGCCATAAGGCATTGCTTTAGTTCTTGGCATCTTGGTGAAACAGCTGTATTTTAGATTACAAGCACAATTGCGATCATTTTGTGGCAAGTATTCATTATGTTTTCTGTTCCTGAGGGGGCTTGCTGGTAGCGAGCAGCGACAGTTGGTCGGGAAGGGGCTGGAAGCTGTTCTGGGAGATGGATGGGGCTGACACGGTGTGGTTGGGAGGGCTCTCCGAAGCCTCGGGCAGTTTTCCCACTCAGAAATGAGTTCTGCCTAAGAGTTTTTGTTGATTATTTTTAATATATATATATATTTTTTGCCAAGTATGTGGGAGAAGGTGGGGGATGATGAACAAAAAGCTGGATAGCTCTGAAGATCAATTGTTTGGTTTGCTGGTTTATATTCCTTCTTATTCCCTTTTTCGCTGACTCTCTGTCTCACAGCATTTCATACCTTCTGTTTGCACTGTGAGCCGAAAGCTCAGTGTGCGTGTGTACATGCACGAGACTTTGCTGCATGCCTACAGTTTCACAGTTATTTTGTCACCCGTGTTTTACCTTGTCCCAGTGGTAGCCGTGTTCCTGTTTAGCCAAGACACCTGGAGCCCTGGAGCAATAGCCCTGGTCAGGATTCATGGAAGTTGCTGAGTTTGGGTTGTTGTAATCTTCTCATGTGGTTCCATAGCGTGGGGCTTTGTGCCAGGGTTGTGATGGGTTGGGGCAGGGATGGGCAAAATGCGTGGAATATTAAACATGTAAAGTAGCACTAACTCGTTTAGAGGATGGTGCAGGCACCTCCGTGTCTCCATGCACTGCTAAGATAAGCTGACCACGAGTTGGTCGGTCAGCAGAAAGCTGTATCCTCTCATTTCTGTCTGGTCTGGTCGTCTCGGCTGGTTTCTGCCCATCCTGCTTTGATCAGCAGCTCTCTCTGTGTGGGTAAGGAAGGCTGGACGCGGCGCAGGAGGTGAGCTGTGCTGTGCTGCACTCCCTCGCTCTGCTCCTGACAGCTCCCACCAGCCTGGGGGCATGCAGCACCACCCCCTGCGTTCCCTGCAGCTCCAGCCCCTGCCCTAGATGCCTGGAGACTTTGCAAAAGCAGAAACATCTCAGGATATCTGAGACCTGTTTTGCCTGAAGAGATGAAATTTTTACCAATTGCTGGTATTTTAAAATACTTTAGATGTGTCAGTAGCATGTCTTGAGAAACAACAGATGTACGTTCCCGGCCATGGTCTTGATGAGGTGCAGTCCAGTTCTTAGGGCTGGGAGATGAGATACAGACCAGTTCTTAGGGCTGGGAGAATGGGCGCTGCCAGCAGTAGCCCCGCCGTTAGCACTACTTGCTCGTGAAGATGTTTCCTTGCAGCCTGAGTTAACTGAGGTTTCTACTGCATCGCTCTGGCACGCTCAGGGCGCAGCCTGCCCACACAGATCCCTGCCTGGCTTCATTGTGAATTCCCACGGGATGAGGGCTAATGGAAATGTTATGCCAACTGCAGCGTAAGGCAAGGAGAGGGTGGGTTTGAAACAGTCACCCACAATTGTACTCCTGTCTCTTGAGCAAGAAGAGGCAAAAGCTGAAGGCAGAGCTACATCAGATTTCTGAGGTTATGTTAGATGATGAAGAATGATTAGATACAAGCACAGGTCCTTCCTTAGCATAGCAATATAAAGGTACAGCAAACAGCAGGGGGAAGTCTGTCCAGATGCTTCTGGCAAGAACAGGAAACCTGAGTCTTATGACTTCTGCTTATTGTCAAAGACCAAAAACCTAAATCAAAACCTTACTAAAAAATAGCGGCTAACATCTTTTTGAGGTCATATGAGGAGACTCATCCTTCCAGATGTAAACTTCCCAGAGAAAAGAGATTGATTCTGGTGAGCAGCAGCACTGTGTGCTGGAAAATTACTTCTACTCACAATGAAAAAAGGAGAAAAATTATTCTTGTCTCAGGGCAGGACCTTTTGGGCTTTGGAGAGCTGCTCCTCATGGCTGCTTCCAGCTCTGTTTAGGTTAAAGAAGGACTAAGTCTAGCGTGTAGCAGGCTATCAGCCATCTGAGCTGTATATCTGAGTTTCAACAAAATGCTGAAATGATTCATCTGTCGTCTTTCTGGATAATTATGTCAATATGCTAAATTTCCTTTGATATTGGGAAAAACTTTTTGCATTTACAAAATCATTTAAATCTTGAATTTAATTATGGAAAATGTGGAACTATCTGCCTGAAAACTGTTACTTGGAATACACATGTATGAGTGATTCAGTTGCTTTGGTTGGTTTAAGCACGGTGTGCTCACATCCAGGAAAGTTTTTAGGAGCCAATGTCCTACTGAGAGTGTGAACCATCCATGTGCTCATGTGGGACCTGTGGAATTTGTGATCTAGTAGTGAAGGGACGTAGTCAGCACCCTGCTGCTGGGTAGCTCTGGGCAGTGCATTTGCTTTTCCAGATTTTTGTTTCCACTCTCACTGTGTGCACCTCTCAGAACAGACTGCATGGTCCTTGGTACAGGCACTGGACAAAACAAAGCAAAAAGGAACCCAGAAATTGCCTTTGAAGAGACTGGAGAGTCCCTGAACTTCATCTCTGGGATGGCTTGCAAAAACTGACTGATTTTTCCTATGCTCAAATTAAGTTTAACCATGTTTGAGGTACAATTAATCAAATAAAGGTTGTGCTCAGTTCCTTACTCAAATTAGCAAATTTACAATATTCCCATATGTATTAGAGATAGCATTATTTGGTTTATAGTATTTTAATAGGAGTGCTACGTTTCTCAGGCAGCAGAAGTTGCTCCAGTTTTAACTGGGCTGTGACCCGAGGAGCAGCAGCCAGGAAAGGGCTTTCAGAAATTGATGCAAGTTTTGATCCATTCTGCTGATGGGAAACTTGCTCCGAGTTGTGGTAGGCTTCAGGAAAGACAGCGTGAGACTTGGAAGTCTCAGAAGGCATTAGTTGCTTTGTAGGTATCTTGACATCTCCCTTTTAAAAGCTGACCTTTCCTGGGTTCAGGCTTTTTCAGCTCGAGCCAGGAGCAGAAAGGCAGGTTGTTCTCCCCGAGGTTTTCCTTTTATCTGAGCTTCCATACGCGCTCCTAATCAGCTACCACCTTTTTTATTTTTGCCAGGGATTAAAGACCTGGGGTTATGGGGAATTCATTATTTTCACTTTACTGCTGTGAAGAAATAAAAGCATATCCGAAGTTCCTCAGCTCGAGTTTATGTCTGCTGTTGGAAATAGGGGTGAATCCAGGCTGGCAGGAACAGCAGCAGGAAACAAACATTGTCACAGGCGGCGAGCCCCACTCCTGGGTCACCCCCCGGGCTGTGGGCACAGGCACTCAGCTGGGGGCCCTTGCCCCTCCTGCTGCAGTGTTTGGCTCCATGGCTGGCTTCGCTTTGCTTTCCACGTGCATTTGACCTGGTCAGTATATTAACGAAGTCTCGCGAAAACAATCTGCAAAGATGGGAAGTTAAATTCTGGCACTGGTTTGTCCGATGAAGACGGTCACGTCCCCTGGTCACCGGTGAGATGTTCCCACCGCCAGGCTTCTCGGCTGCCCCACACAGCTCCTGCCAGCTCCGGGGAGGGACCTTTCCAGCCAAAGCTTGCTCTTAACGTTGTTTGCTTTGCAAAAGTGCTTTAACTTCATGACTTTGTTGCTTTAATAATTCAGACAGCCTGAAGCTGGGTATTGTAAAGCTTTAATCCATTTTCTAAAGGTCATAGATGCCCATCCAGTAGATACACGATAGATAAAATTCCCCTGAAGTCTCTTCTCAACCGAGTGTCTCTTTGATATCAACACAAGCTTTATCCTTTCTCCTTTTTTTCCCAGTTTTATAAACGTTGGATTTTCTTCCCCCAAAAGAAAGGCTAGAAACATAATCCTCTGACATTAAACCACCACGGATATTTTTTTTCCCTTTTATTTCTCATCCTGTGCCGGAGCAGGTGCGAGGCCGAGGTTACATCCGTGCTGTGGGTGTTTTCAGGCCGCGTGTCGCTCCAGATGTCAGCCCCACAGCTCACCCCACACCTCCCAGCAGAGGGACACGTCCCGGGGGACACCACAAGAGGAGGTGCCCTGGCCACAGCCGGCTGGGGACAGCCAGGCGAGGGGCATCCTGAGGCCGGGGGGGTCTCCGCAGACATGGAGGAGCTGGCACAGTTCAGGGCCCCTCCTGAACTGGTCCGATGTGCTCCAGCAATACCTTGCCATTTGTGTCTCAAGTTGTGGGAGCAGCAGGAGGGAAATTATTCAGCAGCTTTTTCTGCGATATGGTTGTGAACATTTTCATCTGAAACGAGGTCTGGGACATGGTAGTGCACACTGCACCAAGGACATGGTTGGGGTTTCTGGAGGATCGGCCTCTCTAAGATAGTGATTTACAGCAAAAGCTACCCGCTATTGTTATCATTATATACCCAGACCCTTATTAATCCTTGCGTCTGAAACTGCCTGGGGTTTATTTCGGCCCCCAGCGTTCCTGGTGGATGAGTCACGTCGGCGTGGGGTGCAGGTGGGACGGAGGTGGGACTGATGCTGCCGCCAGCAGCTGGGGGCCCGTGGGCTGGCAAAGCAGCGTTGGAGAGCAGAGGGTGGAAACAGCCGCCTCCCAAAACCCACCGGGACCCCGTGGGCCCCCCTGCAGGCAGCGTCCCGCCGGCTGCAGCCCTCCGTCCCGGCACTGCCCCGGAGGCACGGCCTGCCGCGGCGCTGCCTGGGCTCCCAGGAGCTGGCTGCTGGGCAGGGGCACTCCGCTCTGCTCCCTTCTCGTGCAGCTTCTCAGCTTGCCACTTGGATGCTGCTGTCCTCCTGAGCCCTGAAACCTGCTGGT